GAGAAGATCACTGGATACCAATGGTGAGTACTCTTCTTTCCTAGCATTGTTCTGCGAGTGATGGCAAGAGGGTGCCAGCAGTCAGACAGCGGTCCTCTGCTACCCTTGACAATCCAAGTTCCTCCCATCAGAGACACTGACACATATCAGCAAACCTGACCTTGGCCATTAAAGGTTTAAGGAGGTCTAGGTGGAAATGGAAGAATTTGTTTTCCTCTTGTAGTCGTCTCACCTGAACCTTTTCCTTTTGGTACTTAAGATAAATGACAGAAAGAGCTGCACTCAGTTGTCTCTTCAGGTTGTGTACTTTCTCCTGACCTGTTTTAGGTCAGGAGAGCCTGCTCATCGTGGGCTGGCTGTGGAACACTTTGAGTAGTCATCTCTGGTTTTCATTTCAGGGGAAATTAAGCTTCCTAAAGGCTACTGTGATGCTGACTTGACCCTGGACAGCAAGCTTGAGGTCCTTCTGCCACGTCGACAGGGACTGGGCCTCTGCTCCACAGCCTTAGCCAGTTATCTCATTAATCTGCACAATGACTTTATCTACTCCGTAAAAAAATACATCAAGGAAGATGATAGGTATGTTGCTGTGCCAGCTACGCATTTTTTTTTTTTTGGGTTCTGTTGTATTACCTGCTACCACACAGTCTGTTTTCTGTGCTTCATAAAGCCTTCTCCCTCTAAACGGAGAAAAACTTTTTTCCCTCTTCTGTAGGTACTTGATAAGTCCATCAGAAGTGGCTGACCTGCACTTGATCAGTTATGAGGTTGAGAGGGATGTGATTCCCCTGCTCTTGTCCAACTGTCAGTACAGCATGGAGAAGGGAGGGGAGACGTTGCAGGACTTTGATCTGGAGAGAATCCAGCAGCAAGTCATCAGCAAGTTCCTGCAGGGGAAGCCACTCATCACCCTCACGGTAGGACAGTGCAGCTAGCTGTGTTTTCTGCAGTCACCCTCTTGGCTTGTGTTGGACACCTGCATTGTTTGCTGCAGCCAGGCTTGCACTGTAGCAGGGTTTGCAATGTTAAAGCTCTACAGCCTGTGGATTTCATCCCAGATCCCCTCTCTCCTGACAGGGAATACCTACCCTTGTGTGCAGATACGATCGGAATTATGAACAGCTGTGTAATGATGTCAGGAATAAGCTGGATCAGGTAGGTTTCTGTAATGGAAGAAACAGGACAAGCAAGTGACCCCTGACATCTTAAGAACAGTCAGGGTTGTCTTGTGTCACTTGGCTTGTTCATCTGCAATAAAGGCTATATAGCCTATAAAGGCTTGTCTGCTAGTCTTTCTGCGTGGCAGTGCAAACTGGCCTTCTCTCCTCAGCCAGGATTTGCAAAGGAAAGGTGATATAGTTAAGCATTTATGGCTTCCTAAATTTGGGGCTCTGCCCTCTTCCAGGGCTTCAGCAACTTGAGCAGTAATAAGGAATGGAACTAAGCTAATATTGGCAACTGTTTTGACTTCATGGTTTTCAGAGCTCTCTTCCCGGTTCTATGATAAACATGATCAGCGGGGAACTGCAGTCCTATAGTGATGTCTGTGATGCTCTGTCTATTACCGAAATTATGTTGGGATTTCTCGCCATGGCTGGAGAGAACCCTGAAATGCTTCTGACTGAGTACATCACACAAGTTCTGCAGATGGGTGATCAGACAAACCCTCAGGTACTGCAGGTGAGTCCAGAAAGCAAAGCTCTTATTCTTACAGGATAAAATCTGTACTGGTTTATACAAAGTCCAGCCAGCCTGATCTCCAAGCCCAGCAAAAGTTCAGCTTTAACAAGTGTGTATTAGAATTACCTCCCCACTGTGCTTTACAGCAGGGGAGAAATTTTCACTTTCACTGTAAAAAGTGCTTGCAAGGTAGGAGCACCCTATAGCTCATGATGCTCAGTAGGTTCTTGCAAATTCCTACGGAAAGGTCAAGTGCAGGACGCTCAGGTTGAGTTCCCCTTTGCAGATCCTTCCCCTCCTGTCAGCCCCAGGAAAGAGAATCCTCAGTAGGGTGACAGCGTAATTGGGTGCAATGCTAAAACTGGGAAAAGAGCAAAAGATGCCAGGAGGAAACTTCCAATACTGAGTCAGCTTTCAGTGGCACTGTCTTTTACCTCTCAAAGGGTATCTCTAAAAGAGGGAGGTTTAACCTCCTAATGATGTGTGAAAAGAGGCTTTGTTCTGATGGGGGAGGCAAGGGCACAAGGACACGTTGTCATAGCTCTATCACTTTCCCATTTCCTCTTGTGATGGCCAAAAAAGATGGACTATTGGATGCAAGATGGGGGAGAGGGAGAAACAGGCCCGTTTCAGACAGGCTCCTATACTCAGGTTGAAAGGGCTGGATGAACTCCCTGCTGGTGGATGGGGTTTTTGTTTATGCTAATTTGTCATAAGATTGACTGCTGCTGAAGAGTGCCATCTTGCTTTGGCTATGTCACCCTGCCTGTTAATGTGGTTTCACCTTAGTGGGCTTTTTCTCTCTCTGTTTGTGCTTGTGCTCCACTACAGTTTTGACCTGCATGGGCATGGTGGTGGAGAAAGAATAGGTTCCTAAATACATCCCTCGCATCCGGTTTCTCTTCACGTGTATTTTTCTTTCAGGCCCTTAGTAGATGCCACCTAAAGCACAGCATAGCCTTATGGCAACTTCTGTCTACCTGCAAGTCGGAGCAGCTTCTGCGCCTCAAAAGGGTAAGAACACTGGTAACCTCTGCGTCTGTTCAGGCCTTTTCTCTTTTCTAAATGAAGCCGCTTAGGGGTGCATGTTTTTTCTCACTGCATCTTTAGGATCCTTTTGAAGACATCAGCACGGTCTACAAAGCTGAGCTTAGTCCAGAGATTGCCAAGCTCCTCAACACCTTCCTTGTCCACTCAAGGCTGGAAACGTTCCTGCAGGAGCTCCATGAAATGATCATCCTGAAGCTGAGGCGCGTCCAAGCTGTGGAGGAGTTCAAACCCACGTGGAGGTAATAGACTTGTGCAGCCCAAACTACCTGACAATCATTAGCTCCTAACTTAAGCTTCTCTGGCTCTTTGAAAATGCATGCAAAGGAAACTGTTCCCTTGGTAAATGTCCACCCTCCTGGACACAAAGGACAACCATCAACATTAAGAGTTTTTACCTAGTACTAAGCAGCATTGCCTGTTTCTAGCATGTATGACTCTTCTTCATCTCTATATGAACTATTTTGGCAACGCTGCTGGAATATATCAAGGTTTGCTATTTTTGAGTGCTAAAGACGAACACAAGTGCTTCTGCAGTCACTCAGCTGAACGCACACAGCTTTCTATACGTACAGCTTGGCCCCAACAATTTAATTGAGATTTGAAGAACACAGAAGTGGCAGGCTGCAGGTCAGGATTAGTGTGCTGTTTAATCCTTCTCATAAAAATAGTGCATATTAAAACACTGTATACTTGATTGTGGTGCATTTCTAGCATATAAAATATTGTGGCATTTGTAGTTTGCGGTATACAATCTGTTAATACTATATTTGCTCTTTATTCTCCAGCTTGAAGGAATCACTCCTTCCTTACCTTGATGTAAAAGACTGTGCGTTAGCTATAGAGTTTGAAGATATGTTCCCAGAAGAGATTCTCCTCTCTCATGCTGTTGCTACCTGGAAAGCAGCTGCGCTCTTCAAAAGAGAACACAGAGAAAGTTAATGGCCCAAAGAAAGCTAAGGCCAGGAAAGCAGCAACACGAGGCTCGTCTGTGACCGCTGTACTGATCTTCTCCCCTGCACCTTAGAGGGGCACAAGCACTGCGTCAGACTCTGGAAATGCAGGGTGGGGAGGGGGGGGTTGGTTCGTTCATTTTATTACTGCCTCACAAGCGCGATGTAAAACCTCGCTGCTTTACGTCAGAAGGACGGGGCAAGAGAACCACAGGGAAGAGGCAAGGCCGGTCCTTGTCTGCTACCACCGTTTCTAAAAATCTGCTATTGAAGGATTCTGAAAAAGCATCATTCCTTAGTGCCTCTGCTTTCAGAGAGAGAAATACAAGCCGGAAAACGCCTCTCTCCTGACCTTTAGTAGAGATCAAGCCGTGCTGCAGCCCTTCACCTGCCTGACTTTATTCCTCTCCCACGGTCCAGGAGCGCTTCAGCACAACCCCAACCAACGCCTCCACTTCAAAAAACCGCGGAACCTGCCTTTAATTGCCTTAACCTCGCCCGAGGAGCGACCCGGCTGCCTTTTCGGGCCGAAAGGGACGTTTTTGTACGTTTTTCTCTGAAGGCAGGCGAACGCCTTTCCACGCCGGGAGCGTTTCCCAATAAAGTCCCTTCTCGCTCCCGCTGCTCGTCCTTCCTGCGCGGCGCCGGGGCCGGGGCGGCGGAACGGCCTCCCGCCGGGAGCGTTCC